CATTTCCTCCTAAACTTGGAAAACACTTTCATCGAGGAACTAGACTCAATCCTTAAAAATGAAGAAGATTTCTGAAATTGAAAGCTAGGATAAGCTGGCTCTACAATGGGGATGCCGACACCAGATTCTTCCACACCTCTACTCTTAATAGAATAATGAGAAATAGAATCTTCTCCCTTAAGGATAAGGTAGGGAATTGGCAGCACGAGCCTCATGAAATCAAAGACTCAATTGTCAGTTTTTTCAAGGACCTTTACACCTCTTCTCACTCCCAATCCCCTATCTCCACTACCACTACTAGCCCCCAGAATCCATCATTATCCATTGTGCAAAAAGCCAACATGGCCCTCCCCCTCAGTGATAGTGAAATCAAAAGAGCTATCTTCTCTTTCAAACCCTTCAAAGCCCCGAGACCTTATAGATTATATCCATTATTTTATTAGAAGTACAAGGACATTGTGGGAAAGGATGTCATCTAATTCTGCAAAGATTGTTTCTCAACTGCAACAATGCACCTCGGTATGAATGAGACCCTTTTGTGCTTAATTCTAAAATGCCCCCAGGCCTCCATGCTAAAAAACTTCAGGCCTATAGGTCTATGTAATACTATCTACAAAACTGTGACCAAAATCCCACTTAATAGAATTAAACCGTACCTGACCCACATTATTGGTCCCAGTCAGGTAAGCTTCCTCTTCAACAGAAGAGCCTCTAACAATGCTATCATTGTCCAGGAATACATCACCCGCTTTGAAACAATAAGAGGCAAAATACCTCACACGATCCTAAAGATTGACTTGGAGAGGGCCTTTGACAGAATTGAATGGTCCTTCATTAGGGATACCCTCCAAACTTTCAACTTCCTCATTGGCACCACTAACTTCATCATGTGTTGTGTAAACTCATTCTATATCTCTATTCTAGTGAATGTGGATCAAACCAACCCATTCAAACCTACTAGAGGCATCAGGCAAGGTGACCTTCTCTCTCTTTACCTGTTTATTATGTGCATGAAGAGACTCTCCAGGTCTATTGAGAAGGAGGTCCAGAATAAGGAGTGGTGTCCAATTAGCATAAGCAGACCGAGTCCCAAGATCTCCCATTTGTTCTTTGCCGATAACCTGACTCTATTTGCAAGAGCTGACCAGAAAAATTGCTCCACAATTATTAGCACTTTAAACCCCTTCAATCAGGCCTCAGTAAAAAAAAATCAATCTTGCAAAATCAAGAGTTTTCTTCTCTGCCAATTGCCAACCCCATCAAATGGAGACCAACTCCAACAATCTGTCCATTTAAGCCACAACTACCTTTGGCAAATATCTGGTATTCCCTATCTTCTACAAAGGCTAGTCAATAGTGATTTCCAATTCATCGTTAATAATATGCACTTCAAAATGGCTGGTTGGAAAACTAACCTCCTAAACATGACTGGGAGATTGATAGAATTCAAATGAATTCAAAGGAATTTCATCTGAGGCACCATACCCTAGCAAAAGTCTCCTTGAATAGTATCCCTAGCCATGTCATGCAATTCATCAAACTCCCCTAAAAAACTACTAAGGAGATTGATAGAATTCAAATGAATTTCATCTGAGGTACCATACCAAATAGGAAGAAGATGTACCTAGTGGGCTAGGACAGTGTCACAAAGCCTAAGTCCCAGAAGGGTCTAGGAATTCAAAGGGCAGAGTTGAAAAACAAAGCTACCTACTCAGGACTGGCTTGGAGGATCTTTCACAACACATCCCCCCTCTGGGCAAAAACTCATATTGCAAAGCACTATAACTGGCGACACCCCCTAAAAATGCTAAATCAACCACTTGGCAATGCATTCTCAAAGGGTGGAAAACATGTTCACAAGCCAGGAGATGGGTGGTTAACAAAGGGAACATAGTCAGCTTCATAAATGACCCCTGGATCCCAAACCACCCATCCATTAGGACCATGGTTGAAGGTCCCCTTACCCAAGCTGATCTGTCAACCACAATTGCTATAATCTACAATAATAGGGTCTGAGATACCCCTTCCATCTCCCTAAACATCCCTACAAACATCAGAAATATGCTTTTAACCACTTTCATTCCACTCAATCCTATAAAGGAGGATATGGTGATCTAGGGAAACACTAGCAATGTCCTCTTCAGCACCAAATCAGCCTACACACTACTTACTAACAATGCCTCCCGTAAGGGGACAAATATTAGCGATAATTACTTGTAGATATGGAAAATGAAGGCCCCCAATAAGATCAAATCTTTCATATGGCGTCTCTATCATGAAAGGCTCCCAACATGGGTTTTTCTCCGCCATATTGGGGTCTAATGTAATCCAATGTGCTGTTTTTGCAATGATGCTCTTGAAACATCTGCCCACATCTTCTTTGAGTGCCCCAATGTAAAATCTTTCTGGCAAAATTTAACCTCAAAGAGCACTAATGCAGCACAAACCCAAACCCCATTTTCAATAGCAGGGACTGGTTTGCCACATGCGCTTCTCTCAAAAGAAAGCCATTCAACGACACCCTTACTTGGGAAGATTTATTCCCCTTTAGCTTCTGGATGATCTGGATTACTAGGAATAATAACCTCTTCAACAAGAAGAAAGATATGGTCCTTGCTATCATTGTTTTGGCAAAGGCTACTAAGTATATCACTATCTCAGTAAACAAACCACTCACAAAAGAGAAAACCATCTGGGTCAAATGGACATCCCCATCAAGAGACCACTATAAGCTCAACACTGATGGGGCTGCTATTGGGAATTCTGGTAAGGGAGGTGTGCGAGGAGTTTTAAGAAACTCTAGTGGAAACTGGGTCCTGGGTTTCATGGGAAGCCTGTAACACACTACAAATACACAAGCAGAACTCTTTGCTATTCTGAAAGGATTGCAGAACAAAGAGGGCTTACACCACTTGAAATCAACACAAACTCTAATGAGGTAATAAGAATGCTTAACTCGGGTAACTATGTATTTGACTAATTATTTTTTAATGCATGTCAATCATCCTAAGATTAGGAGACATGACGGTGAAGTACAACTACAGGAAGACGAACAAAGTAGCTGACTTGATAACAAAGGAGGGTGCAAGCAAGGAGCTTTTTGATAGCCTTAGTTTCACGACAGTTCCTCCGGTGTTTGCAAATAAGCTTTTTAGGTAGACATCGCAAGAACTGTTTTCTCTAGACAAAAATTTGGACTGTAATATTAACACTTTTGATCATAGCGCAGGGGAATCCTCATACCCCCTGAAAACATTGCTACCGTCTTACCTTAACGGGTAATTTTAATACTTATATAATAGCCCAGTTAACCCAAAAAAAGAAGAATCTCCTAATAGTGGTAATTAGGTCTGTTATTTTGCATATATAGGTAAGAAAATAAATAAATATTTGGATTTGCATCGAGAACTCCTATTTAGAGAGTGTGTGTGTGTGGGGGGGGGGAGTATATCATTCCCAATCAAAGGCGATTTCATCGGAAACAACCTCTCTATCCCTCGGGGTTGAAGTAAGGTCTGCGTACACACTATCCTCCCCAATTTCACTTGTAGGATTTTACTAGGTAGTCGTTGTTGTTGTTGAACTCAAAACCTTTAATTAAGGATGCCGGGATACTTACCGTCCCTTGACTTTTGGTGATATTTAGTTACATATCTTATTGAAATTGATACATCTTCATAATACAAAATAATCGAATATAAGATTGGAAAAGATTAATTGAGTCAAATGAAACTTCCATTCATGCTATAGCAAACACTCCATTAGATTGTCAAGTAAAGCAAAATTTGCCTCTTTTAAGTAAAATAGAAAAGGAAGAAATTTTGAATCACTATATCATATATAGAATGAGCTAATAGTGTATATGCGTGCTACCACCTATCCAACTCATCCAAAATCCCATTAAAATGAGCGTGTTTACATAATACAAACTACTAGTATACAATTAGAAGAAGAATTGTATAATGTGAAAATACTATTGGCTTTGTCAGTTAAACTGAGCATGACATGTGCTAGGTTGTAAGTGAATATTATTATTTCATTTGAAATATCATTCAAATCAGTTTTTTTTTTCAACTTCAATTTGTGATTGTGACATAGTTCTTGATCATGACAAAGAACAATTGCTTCTTGTAAAATGTAATGTTGGGTGTTCAACATTGCTTTGCCCGGACTTTAGGTGGAAAAAAAGGGGAATATATATATATATATATATATATATATATATAGACAAAATATATTGAAAAAAAATTATACTTTTGCGACTACGGAATATAATAGTTTCGGCTACGAGCTAAAAGTGATCTTTGCCCAAAAAAGGGATCTTTTACATAAATAGCCACCCGAATTCATTATTTTCCTTTTCTAGCCATTATATATAAATCGTACATTGATTATATACGGTTATACATATATTTTATATTGATTATACATATTTTATACATCTATCTATTATTTTTAGTTTAAGTGGTTAGGTAAGTTGCTATTTGGGTTAATTCTTCCAAATAAGATTTGAAAAAATGACATTGTATAACCACTTTCAAAATAATAGCAAAGAGAAAAATATATATATGTATATATTGTATGTTATATATAAAAATTATATAAATTTTATATACTTTTTTAGCTACCGAACGTAAATAGTTTCTGGCGCGGGCTAAAAGTGATAATACAAAGCTTGTGTTAGGCCTTTTTCAGAATTCAGATATATTGGGCTCCGTTCAGCTACTTCTGTGGGCTTTCAAATTTTTCCAATGAGTTAATTCAACGGTCCCCACGGGACAAGTCTTCAAGACTCCAGAAAATTACCTAACTAGCCCTTCTCACCAAATATCCGAACAAACGTTCATAAAATCATACGTTCAAAATTCAAAACCAACGGCTCAGATCCTTCGTTTCTTTACAAAACTCTGCTCCCCCAACTTGGTCCTTTTAGTAAATTACCTACTTCAAAATTAACGCATCTATTTTACTCAACAAATAAATTGCCTTAAAAAATCCATATTCTGTCTCGCACGCATCGAGGTCCTGATCTTCGTTTTTTCAAATCATACCAAACCCAAAACGAAGCTAACAAGAACGCTTTCTATAAACCCTAATTCTCCTTCCAAAGTACCCCAAATTTTCGATTTTAATTACAAAAATACCTCAATTCCTTTGTTCTTCAGTTGATCCAGTTATATGAATTTTGAATTGAATTCTCTGTTCGGAAAATGATCGTTAGAACGTACGGCCGGCGTAGTAGAAGCATGTCCCGAAGCTACTCTGATTCAGGCTTAAACGGCGATGTTTCAGAAGAAGGTTCTCAAGATATTTACAATTTTGGGTTTTCATCTCAAGACTCGGTTCACTGGAATAATTCAGATCCATACGCATATGATGCCGCCGGCTCATCTCAGGAATTGACGATTTTGCCCTCAAGAAAGGAAGATAGGGATGAGGATTTTTGGAATCCCAAGAAGGTGAAAAAGGTGTTTGATTGGGAGCCTTATAGTTTGAATTCATCCCAAGAATCGGACGAATTGGGGCAGAATGGTAATTTTGGCAAATTTGATGGGGGTTTACTAGAACCGAAGAAGTTGAAGGGCAAGGAAAATGGGTTTTTACAGAAGAAGAAGAAGAAGGTCAAATCTAAGGAGCTGGGATTGCCATCGCTGGGGCCCACGGCGACATTAATGGAGACACAAGAGTGTGGTGAGATGATGGAACATATGGATGAGGTGAATTTTGCTTTGGATGGTTTAAGGAAAGGGCAGCCTGTGAGGATCAGAAGGGCCAGTTTATTGTCATTGCTTTCTATATGTGGAACAGCTCAGCAGCGTCGCCTGTTACGCGCTCACGGGTATAAGAAATTTGGCTTTTAAACATACTTTAGAATTTAGATCAGTATGAATCTTGATTGGTTTCTTTGATAGATATAAATCTTGATTTTCTTGAATAACTCCGTAATCACAGTCTTTCTTAATAGTAATTTGCGTATACAATTATAGGAGATAAATATATATAAATATTTTGAGATAGAGGAATTTTGATAGCTGACATACAAAAAAATTGTACAAATTATATTCAAGTTTTTTACAAATTGTTTGAGCTCAGAAATAAATAGGGATGGTACTAAGGCAGGGGAATCTTGGTAGAGGAATATTTCAATATTTCCAAATGTAATGAGCAAGGCTCAATTATCTTCTAGTTTAATGTTTTGACCTCTGCTATCACATCATTCCTTTTTTTTTAATGACTGAGAACTCCAAAACTCATATCGAGCTTGGTTTCACTGATGAAGGTTTTCCATTTATAATTGTCTGAATGGTCCTAGTGTGTTAGTGTTACACATGAATTTTTTTCTCAGTAATTGCTAGCACCATGTTGATGGAGCCTTCAAGGAAGCTTCTTTTTCTTATTCTTGGGAGATATGATTCACCTTTAGAATATGTCTTCCATTTAATTCAATATTCTAGTATGTAAATTTTCAAGTCTGGAAGTACGTGAAGAATAATAGCTGAGATAAACAATACTTTACGCCTAATGGTAGTCATTGGTAACTCATGTAGGGATGGCTTCTTTTATGAAATAATTAGACATTCCCGAGGTCTAAATTTCTGATAATCACAATTACTATTACTTTTATTGAAGATGCATATGATCTATCATCTTAGATCCTAAACATGTAGTATTTTCCTTGAATTCAGTGGTCTGATTATTGATATTTATCCCTTTTTGCCCATTGGTATAACTGCCAAGTTTTTTGATGTCAGGATGGCAAAAACAATTATTGATGCTGTTTTGGGACTCAGCTTCGATGACTCCCCTAGCAACCTTGCTGCAGCAGCTCTATTCTACATTTTGACCAGTGATGTAAGTTTCTTCGTCTTTCTAGCGGTATAGCCCTTTCATTTGGACAGAAGAACTAGGTTATTGCATATTCTGCATGATTTGTCAGATAGGAAAAGGTTTTTTCTCCACTCTAGTATTGGTACTTTTGAAGTCTTTATTCTGTCTGTTAGATGCCTAGTTGATGAGTAACTTTGTCATATGTATGATTGGAAATAATCTCTTCTCAATTGATTTCAAGGCATCAGTATTTCTTTCCTTTCTCTCTGTTGGTGGATAACAATTTACAAATAAGCATACCGTGGATGCCCCTTCATCAATATATTACGTTCTGACTGTTTTAAAGTTTCTTCCTCCAAGTTAACCTTCCTTATAAGTTGTATCTGTATGCTAAAATTACTCTTCGGTAAATTATTCAGTTACAGATATTGTTTATATTTGCAATTTTTTGATTAATAGTTTAATACATTCTCATTTTACTGTATTATCATCCATATAAGTTATCTGAGAACTTCTCCCTTCCTTCTGTTTTTGATCTTCCAAATTTTTTCCAGGGAGGTGATGACCGGCTTCTTGATTCACCCAGCTGCATTCGCTTTCTTATAAAATTGTTAAGACCGGTTGCCGCTCCTGCTCTGATAGCAAAGGCTCCAACTATTGGGAGCAAGCTTTTAGCAATGCGCTTAGATGCTGATGTTTCTCAAGATAGTGTAAAAGGGCTAGATTCTACTTCCTCTTCAATAATAGGCAAGGTGCAGGAAGTTCTTGTTTCTTGCAAGGAAATAAAGCCAAGTGATGGAAATGATGGACATGGCAGACCAGAGATAACCCCAAAATGGATTAGTCTACTGACAATGGCAAAATCTTGCTTGTCTACTATCTCCATTGAAGGTTTGGTTGGCACTTAATTGGTCCTTTAAGGGATATTATCACTTTGTTCGATCTGCTTTTTCTTCTTTCTGCGCAGTAAATGTCAAGGCTATTTAAGTATATATTTATCCTTCAGGATGGGTGGGTTGGTTGCTATTTTTCTATAAGCATCGGAAGTTAATCAGGGTATCTTGTGTTTCCTTAACTTCGTGAGATTGCATTTTGGTTGCTACCAGTGGCGGAGTCAGAAGTTTAACTAAGGGGAGTCAAAATATAAATAAGTAAGCACACAAAGAAATCAAGGGGAATCAACGTATAGTATATATACATAAAATTAAAAATTTAACGTATTTACACAGTGTAATTTTCCGACGAAAGGGTGTCAATTGACTCCCCTTGCCAATGAGTGGCTCCGCCACTGGTTGCTACCTGTGTCTCCTACTAAGAGGTAAAAAGACAGAAAGTAGAAGAGCTAAGTAGTTATGTGCTTTGCTTTTATATATGTTTACGGCTTATAATATGTTTTCCTGGTAGCGTTTTTTAATCTGCATTTGTCTTAATTAGTTGATGTTGCTTTTAGATGTTTGTGCTTTCAAAACTTGAGATCTGACTCTTTTTCAATTTCTGGAAATTCTATCATATGTTGTTCTAGAATTTTTTAGTGATCAGACCCATGTTTTTTGCCAGTCTTACCTTTAGTGTGGCTTACAATTGCATCATTTTGAAGAAATCATATGGATACTCGGGCTAACTTGACAGTGATTGATCTGTATTTCATCCATTTTTTCGCATTGTATAACATAATTTTCATTTTCCTATTTCTGTCAAAATTAATTCAGATACTTCTGGCACTGTGCGGAGAAGTGGGGGCAACTTCAAAGAAAAGCTGAGAGAGCTTGGAGGACTTGATGCGGTCTTTGAGGTGGCAAGGAGTTGTCATTCTGTATTGGAGGTGTGAGCCTGTGTGTTATTTTCTGTGTTATTACCAGAGATGTGTCTCATAAATTTGTGACATATGAGAGCCAACAGCGTGCTCTATATTCCTCTTGTAGTTAAGCTCTGAGTTGGAGCGCTGACATGGCCATTTTGGATTGGAAGAACATGATGACTTCTATTTCCCTATCACCCCCTTCCCACCCTTTGCTTTTATCCAGTTATAGCATGAACATATGCACATAGGATATAATTTTTTTTATGGATTTTGGTATTTATCTAGATCTTTGGTTTACACGTGCAATCTGTGTAGGACTTTGTTGTTGTTATTTGAGTTGTTCTTCTCTACTCATTGTTGTTAATTTGTTATCAATAAGTGGATGTATAGAAAGATGTTTTGATGTTAGCTGTTAGCTTTAGGTGACAATGGACGGTGAGTTTTATGCTTAAAAGGATTGTTTTTTTTTTATTTTAATGTCAACTATGTGAAGCAGCTGCCATGACATTACTTTCTCTGCAGGGGTGGTCAGAGCTAAGCTTGCAGTCCGTGTCAGATTCTAAAGATTATGCAGCCCTAGAAAGTCTGGTGCTGCTTTTAAAATGTTTGAAAATCATGGAAAACGCGACCTTTCTTAGTATGGACAATCAGGTAATATCAATTCCAACTTTACTTTTTAATAGACTGCCTTTCAGAATCCTTGAAGTCTTGGATGTTCAGTTCAGTATCGGTTCTGTTTCAGACTCACTTGCTTCAAATGAAAGGAAAATTAGATGGTCTGAACTCCCCAAGGTCTTTCACAAAGCTAATCTTAAGCACGATCAAGATTCTCTCAGGTACTATTGCCTCTTATATTTTCATATAAAAAAATTATTGCCTCTTATGTTTTTTGTTTGCCTTTAGTCCATTCGCTATTTTTTCTTTTGTCCCTTGGCTTTATCATGATTCCTGACTGTTAACTTGTTTGAAATTAGGTGCTTTCCTGCATAGAACTTCTTTGGACAGTTCCAACAATGGAAAAGTCTGTAACCTTTCAGCTGGAACTGCTCATGCTTCAGAATTACGTTCACTATCAGACAAGAAAGGTAAGCTGTTATTCTTTTCTTTCTGGTAAAAGGGAATTGGAGTGTGCCTAGACTGCACATTGATGGTATCATCTTCTTCCTCTGTTTAAAGACGGGGTAAGGAGTTGAAACTACTTGACGATAACATGGCAGTTTCTTTTTCTTTTTTTATCCGTAAAAGAATTGGAGGATGTAAAATTCTTTGGTGGGTGGGGGTGGGGGGATATGGTTTAATGGAATTCTACTTTTCCCTGGATAAACTTGTTCTAATATCGATATAGCATTGCATGTGGATCACTTGTGCTGATTGTAGCACACATGGTCAAGAAGAAGGTCATAGGTGCTGCTCTCAGAAGCCCAAAGTTCTAGTAACACAAAAATATCCTCTCCTCTTTCTGTGGATTTACACCCATGAATGCGGTGTGTTAAATTATAATGCAAGAGATTACTAAAATAGGGAGATTGCTAGAGTTTGTGGTTTGATGGCTCACTTTGTGGTGCTTGTTTTGTTATTCTTAATTGGATTTTTGATAGTTTAAAGATACCCCTTTATTAGAAATGAATCCACAGTGAAAGTCAACTGAAGTTTATCTGGAGGATACTGGGAAAAGATATTGATGTAGGGCAGCTTTGGTATTTCTTGTTTGTCCCCAATATTTGTTAATGCCAAACATGAAATATGACCTCCCATTCTGTTCTCAGAAAGCATTGAAATGCTAACAGTAGTAAGCATATCAGTTCAACAGTACAACTTTTTAACTTTTGAATTTGTCAACTTTCAAATAGCAATTTAGTGCCATAGTTTGGCATTTTTGGCAAGGAATAGCTTGATTAAATAGTGAATGGCCCTGTGCTGCATGGCAGGAAAGTTTTCTCTTCAGAATGAAGGGGTCCCATTAAAGTCTTTCGTTGGGTAAAATATAAGCAAAGTCCAATTTGAAGTCTAGACTTGCTGAAAGAGCTATCAATCAAACAGACAATTCCTCTCTCATTTCTTTGTTAGTCAATGAAACTATAATTAGCTTCAGATGTTGAAAAATTTCGCTTTTGAACTTGTAGATGGAAATTGTCAGATTATGTGCATTGATTCTTCTACGACGTGCTATACAAGTGAAGGTTCCTATTCTCAGAAGAACTTAGGTAGTGAAAATCGGATTGGTTCAGCCGCATCCAATTTAGAGTCTGCTAGTACTTCCACCAGTGATTCTTGGCAGCTTAAATTGAGGATTGAATCTTCTAAGGATGGGTCATGTAGTGGAACCTCTGGGGCCTTCAGTTTTGGGGTCAAGAAGAATTCATCAAGAGTGAGTTTTTCAATTGGTGATAGTCAAAGAAGTAATGGAGAGAAGAGACTTGAGCTTATGGAAGAGAGTCAAGATCCTTTTGCATTTGATGATGAGTTTGAACCTTCACGATGGGATTTACTGTCTAAGCCAAAGGCGCCTCAAGCTCGAAGTAGGCAGACATCGTTTCTTGGACGCGATGATGAATACCAATCTCTCTCTGTGCTAAGCCAGCCAGAGTCAAGTAGCCAGGAGAACAAACAAGAGTCAAGTAGCAAGGAGAACAAACAAGAGTCAAGTAGCAAGGAGAACAATCAATCTGATCAGGCCTCTTGTTCTTCTGCAGATGAGGAAATGTCGACCCTTCTGGCAGATTGCCTTCTCACATCTGTTAAAGTAATTTGATTCACTTCAATGTTAGAAATTTATATATGCTATTTTGAAGCAAGGAAGGTCTTTCCTGTGTTTCCTCCATTCAGTATGGTTCTTTCATATGTTGATTATGAAGACGCGTTGCTTTATGTTGGAATGATTTATCATTCTACAGGTCAAATGTTTGTTGGAGAACCTTGGAGTCTTTAATTGTTGTTCTACATTTTGTTTCCAGGATTGCTCTAATATACTCAAACTTGCAGAATTTCTTGACATGCGAGTCTTTCAATGACAGGTTCTGATGAACTTGACGAATGACAACCCTATGGGCTGTCAGCAAATTGCTGCCAGTGGTGGGCTGGAAGCTTTGTCTGCTTTGATTGCTAGCCATTTCCCGTCCTTCAGCTTGCATATGGATTCTAATGGGTCACCAAAATCAGGTGTAGTATCTGATAGTGAAGGTCATCTCAACGATCAAGAGCTAGATTTTCTTGTTGCTATTTTGGGCTTGCTTGTTAATTTGGTGGAGAAGAATGGCTGCAACAGGTAAATATTTTCTTTTGATTTGCGCTTTAAGTTGTTAACCCTGCAGGCTTTACATAATCAGCTTTTGCGGCTATTTGTTTACTCGTCACTGTATTTTGGGTGGCTCTCCATGCATTTATTGAACATTGAGAAATTGGCCGCTATCTTTGTAGTTTGTTCTTGAATATTGATGGTTGCATATATTTCCTTATTTGTTACATCCCTGGTAGAATTCTTCTCTTGATGTGGATCATTAAATTCTGGGCAACTGTTTTTTTTCTTGTTATGTGGATTATTAAATTTTAGGTGTAATCTTTCACAAATTCCTTAAAATTAGAAAGCGCACACATTCTATTAGTCAGAAAAGATGCTAACATGGTATTCCTCTTTCCTAGTATGCCGAAAATCTCGTTGATCTCAATTTCCCAGCTGAATGTATATAACAATAGTTTTAGAAGGTCTGAAGATACTGTCCCTTCTGAAGGAAAAATGGTTTCCATCTCTTAGAAAATTACTAGGAATATTCCATATAACAGGTAATCTGTGCGTTCCAGTTTTAACTGTTTCCTGTTGAGTGGAGATCTTGTGGTAAATCTTGCTGCTTATAAATATTAGTGAACTCTATATTAGAGTCTAAATCAGGTCATTGGGTTTTAAACTTCGTTTCATATAAAAGTGGTTCCTACTCCCACTTTATATTGTTGATGACATCATAAAAAATATTTAATTGTTTTAAACAAACAATTTTCCTTTTTTGTGTGTGTGGAAAAGCTGCTGCTTTTCTTTTCGGGTAATCAACGTTTTCTCCATATAAAGTTTTTCCAACACAAAAACGAAACACTAAATGTATACAAACATTGTTTTTCAAAAAAAATAAAAAATGAAAATTAACCGTTTTCTAATCCAAACGGTACTTAGTGATAGGTGTTTGGGGTTGTTGAGCCTACTACATAGTGGGTAGACATTTTCTCTTGGTAAGTGGGATTAATGAAAGAATATCTCAATGCTTAACTTTACAACTGTGTACCTAGTCTAACTTTATTCCCTATATCACGTCTTTCGGCATAACTTAACTGTATGCTTGATCTAACTTAGTTTCCCTAGCTCATGCCTTTCAGTTTTCATGTATAACATGCGTTTGTTGAGATTATAGCAGTGGACGTTTATCTGATATAATTGTTAAATACAGGCTTGCACATTTTGGCTTAGAAATTAAGTACATGATTCCACATGAATTTTGAGATGCAATATTGTAAAACACATGGATAACAATCTTTGTGCATAGTGCGCAATTTAATTGATTAAGTGGTATTAACAGGGGTGTACAAAGGAAACCGACAAACCACACCAAACCGATACTCCAAGTTAAACCGAGAAAAAAAATCCGACTATGGCTTGGTTTGATTTGGTTTGGTGTTAGAAAAAAACCCCGACCATAATTGGTTTGGTTTGGTTTTAACTAAAAAAAGTCAAACCGAAACTAAACCAACCCGACATTACATGTATACAAGTTTTAAAAATACTTTATATATAAAAATAATTATTGTAATGTAATTTATAAATATAATTTAAACTCTTTAATAGTTCTCTCTTTTAATGTATTATTTCAAGCTTGTACTTAGAACTTTTGAATGGTCAAATATGTTTTATAGCCCATAAAAGTTAGTAACTCAAATAAAGCCCAAAGCAAAATCAAATCAAATCAATACTAATGCTAACAAAAAAATCCAATTCAATACTAGAAATGATAATAGTATTGGATATATATTTTTTTAGTTTTGCAATGATTTTGATAGTGAAAATGCATAATTCACTTTTAATATTATTTAGTGATGTAATTAATACTTAGTACTTATTAGTCGTACTTATTTTAACATGACTTAATACTTTTAGATTATGATTATTTTTATTATGGCTTATTAATTAGCAATATTTATCTTATGCGATTTGTTGAGTATTTTAGTATAATCATGACTCATCTCACATTATTTTATATTATTTTATTGGGTAACATCTTATATAGTTTTATCCTACTAGGACCTAAGAAATATTAGAGCACAAATTATAAATTTTATGCTATGAAGATTGTGTCGGAAAAAAACCCAAAACCCCCATAAAACCGAAAAACCCGGGAAGAACCAGTGATTGAAAAACCTGACATTTGTTGGTTTGGTTTATAAATTTAAAAATTCGAGACAATTGGTTTGGTTTGGTTATTGAAAAATCCAAACCAACCCGGCCTATATACAGGTTATGCTGATTGAGACATGTGTCTTTGCTGAACTCTCATCTCCACGATAATTCCTCGTTAATTTTTGAAATACCTTTTACAAAGAAAAAATTAAAAAGAAAGGAAGAACGCCCTGTATTCATTAATTCGATCATTTAGCATTCTGCCATTTAATGGTAGTTTGCTCATATCGCTTTACCAGACCTCTTAGAATGACAAACTGGTATGTGGTCATGCAAGTCTCAGATTTCAGTTGCTGATGATAGAGCACATGATAAAACATTTGCACTTATTAAACCAAGCTTTTCGCTAATGGCAGGTCGAGACTTGCAGCTGCTAGTGTTTCATTGCCTGGATCAGAAGGTTTTGAGGGGGAGAGCCAGACAGATGTTATCCCTCTGCTATGTGCAATCTTTCTGGCAAATCAAGGGGCTGGAGAGGCTGCTGAGGAAGGAAAAAGTTTGCAATGGGTAGGGAGATTGCTTTATCCAAATTTATTCTTTTCTGGCAATACCTGGGGTGCTTGTTACCGAGAAAGGAATATTGCATAGCTATTTTTATGTTGTTTGGTTCTGATTCTGGAATTATGGGGTTATTTCATTTTGTTCTCAGTTGTTTATTCTCCATGTGATTCACAGAGAAGTCAGTCACCTAAGAGTGAAACTAGAGTGTTGACTCCATTAGCATGCTTTATCAAATTCTAACCAATCAAACCTGTTTGCTGAAACATAACTTCTTGGTTATCCTTTAAAAGTACGGATAGAGTATTACATGTGCACATGTTATGATGGGAAAAAAGTAATGGAGAGCTTGGGCTCCCGAGGTTGCTCTAGTGTGCTTAAGCTTTGCACATACTTCAATTTTGATATTGAAATAGGATGTTTACAATGTATTCTTTCTAATTTTAAGAACTAATTTTCTCTCTTACTAAGTTACTCAACTACTCCTTTATAATTCAAGCTAGGTATAATTTGGTCAGCACAAATGAAATCATTATTATTTTTGTATTATTATTTCAAGGTCTAAAATGCGCATCTGACCTGGAGGCCAATAAATAAGATGCTGTTAAAAAGTTTAGATCTATGTCTGGAGTGTTAAGTTACTTATCCACACTGAATATCCTTTCTAAAAACCTACCCTTCAGGTTGTATGTATGTTCTAATTCTATATTCTGCAAATTGAATAAGGATACTGAATGTTCATTAATTTTGCATTTTCCAACTGATCACAAAAAAAAATTCTCCATTTTTCTAAATCTGCTTGGTGATGCCAGCTTTGATTGTCCAATTCAACTTGCTGATCATATCGCAAGATTTTTGGCTTCATGAGTTCTAATGGGACAAAGAGTTTGGCTACTTGTGGGGATATGAAATCCACTTGGGGTGGGGTAGGGGCAAGAGAGAGGAACTAAAAGATGTGTGTGTGGGGGAGAAACGTACTAAAAGATAGTGGAGGTTATTGAGTTTTTCAGTTGATTGAGCATGAAAGCAAGGTTAAACTAGTCGTATCATATACTAACCAGTGCTAGATTATCTTTTACTATGTTGCTACGGAATTGAATGTGGTTGTCTTGTACAGGATGATGAAGATGCTGTATTACAGGGAGAGAAAGAAGCTGAAAAAATGATTATAGAAGCTTATTCAGCTCTCCTTCTTGCCTTTCTTTCAACTGACAGGTTATTTAAGTATTTGGAATTAGTTTTTAATCTGTTCTCTCTTATTTAAATGCTCTCTTATGTTTAAATACCTTTCTTTGGATCAGCAAGAGCATACGACAGGCAATTGCTGGTTATTTACCAGATCATAATTTGTCCGTTCTTGTACCCGTGCTGGAGAGATTTGTGGTATGTGATCTTGTCCAGTTCTTTGAGTTGATAAAGAATGGTAGTAAAAATTGTAAAATTCTCTCCCAACTTTTAAAAGTAGATCCAATTTGTCAATGTTTTCTCACCGGCTGCCGTAAATTCTCCATTGGGGCCCCAGGGCTTGGATTGTCAGTAAATTCAGGATTTACTTTCATTAACCTGGCTAGTAAAATAACTCTGACACGGTGTGTTTTAAAATGAAATTAGTGTGGCTTAAAATGAAGTATGTGAGAATCATAGAAGATTCAAATTTCAGCAAAGACAAAAACTAGTGATTTCTTCTCATCTATGTAGTGGGAGGTAGACCCAATGAAAATGTTTGAGGTAGGCGCAAAGTGGCTCAGCGCGGTGTGTGTGTGTGAGCGTGGGGTTGACACTAAACTGCAAACAGGGGATACTCAATTTCAAATATCTAATCACTTCTAACAGTCATCTAACTTATTGCTACAAAAAAGTCTGGAACATTGTTTCCTACCGGTTTTGTATGTATACGTTAATAGAGAAAAAATCTTGATTGTGGTTTTTATCCAGGAATTTCACATGACGCTGAACATGATTTCACCGGAGACTCACTCAGCAGTGCTTGAAGTTATAGAATCTTGTAGGGTTCGGTGAGAGAACAGGAACTCGGACGTTTTCTTTTCCTTCTGTGCCTTGTCCTCAATATGAGAAAGAAGATGGTACCAATGAAACTTTGTACATCCTACCCACTCTTCTCTGCAGCATTCATTATTACATGACGGGCATCTATTGGTGCATTGCAAATCCTATCTTTGGTTTTATGAGTCATGGGCTTTTGTTTGACTATTATTTTTCTAAAGTTTAGGGGATAATTTTTTTTTTCTATTTTCCAGCCGATTGTCACTTCTTGTGAGGGCTGAGATGCTTGTACATGAAGAACAATCTTGGATGTGAAACACAGAATGTAATTTGTAGTAATTTTTTAGTGATGGTTTCTTTATCTGGCGACTTGTTATTCCTTTTGTATCAAGTTAGTGTGGAAACTTCCATATATTTCTTGATGAGAACGGTTAGTACGGTTTAACTTATAGTAAGCATTTCACGAGAAATTTTATTTTGAGTGAGATATGCTATGTAATACTTGAGTGAATGCGCATGTAATACTTGAGTGAGGGCATTCAGTTGCTTTCCAAATGGCATATGTGGGACCTGCAATTAATGAAAAATTAAGAAAAAAACTCACCCTCTCTCTCCACCAAACCGTTCCCAGTGCCCCCACCCGCTCCTCTCTTTCTTCTCTTCTTCTTCCTCCTCCCATCACCATATAGAAAAACAACCCATCTACTATTATCTTTTTTAGTTTCAAAAAATATTTCAAATTGCTATGTATTTCTGTCTTAAAAAACTGTTTGAACCCTGTAGAAATTAAACAAAGCTCATGCTTCAAAACTTTTTCGGTATTTTTAAGTTTTCTAGATCTAACCCATCAATTTTGTTTGATTGACCTGCCATTGATATGCAAATTAGAAATCAATAAAAAAGTGGAATATTTTGTATATATACACAATGTTAGAGAACCATACACGTGCAAAAAAAAAAAAAAAAT